CCAAGACTTAGAAACAACCAAAATGCCCATCAGTAGACGACTGGATTAAGAAACTTTGGTACATTTATACAATGGAGTATTACTCCACTATAAAGAAGAATGAAATCGTACCATTTGCAACAATATGGATGGACCTAGAGACTATTACGTTAAGTGAAATAAGTCAGTTGGAGAAAAACAAATACCATATGATCTCACTTATATGTGGAATCTAAAAAACTGAATGAATGAGCAAAGTAAACAGAAATAGTCTCAGAGATTTAAAGGAACAACTGATGGTTGCTAGTTGGGAGGGGGTGGGGATGAGGGAGAAAGTGAAGGGATTAGACAGCATAAATAGGTGGCTACAATATTGCCACGGGGATATGAAAGACATTTCGAGGAATATAATTAATAATGTTGTAAATATTCTGTAGGGTGTAATGTTGTAAATATTTTGTAGGATGGTCACATGTCTTGTTAGGGAGACCGCTTGATGGATGGGGTAGAGGCTTGATCATTGCACTGTACACCTGAAGCTGATGTTGTATAATACTGTATGTCAACTATAAGTGAATATATATATATATATATATATATATATATATATATGGTCACGGGATGTGGAATATAGTGTGGGAGTGGAGTCAAGGGAATTGTAATAGATATGTATCATATGGGGGGGAATGGGGAAGCGGATTGGGGAAGGGGGGTTGTTACTTTGAGGGGTGAAAAGTATAACTATAGCATGTGTTGTACAGCTGAAACTAATTTAAAAAATGTTTATTTCACAATAAAAAAACATAAACCATAAATGACTGATTATACTAATTTTAATAAGGTAAAAGAAAGAACAAGCTACAGACTAGGAGAAAATATCTAAGACATGGAACCACAAAAGAATAATACTAAAGAGATAGAAAAGATTAACAAATTCGTAAGAATATGACAAATACCAAGTAGAAAATGGGCAAAGATTATGACTAGGTGATTTATGGAAGAAACTTAAGCAGCCCAAAAACCTACGAAAAAAGATTCTCAATCAAGGAAATAAAACAATGAAATACTACTTCATACCCATCAGATTGGCAAAAAATTAAGTATGATAACATAATGGTGGGGAGATGTAGTAAAACAGAAACATGTTGTTGGTAAGCATCAATTGTTATAACCACTTTGGAGAGCAATTCTACAGTATCTGAGGAGGTAAGATGTGCACACCTCATGATCTAGCCAATCAACTCGTGTGTCTTCCCTGAAGCAACTTTCACATGCGTATTGTATGAATAAAAATGATTCTGGGAAAAATATTTCAGATAAACATTACCTGCTAAAGGAAAAGTGTTGAAAAGTTACCGTCACTGTAGGAATTATGTAAATATTTACCCCCTTACCTTCAGCAGGAAGTTGGGAGGCAAATTCTGAAGGCAAAGTTAAGAGAGCAAAATCCTGAAGTGCAGCGAGCCAAAGCCTGCTCAGGGTGCCCAGGTCTGTGAGGACCAAGTCCAGCAACCCATCTGATGAGTGTGACCCATTTCTAACACTCTCTTCTGAACAGGTGGTAGTCTTCAAAGGTTGTCTGAGGTTTCTGTGTCTTTCTACAGCAATTATGTAGACCTGTTAAAGGTTAATCTGTAAGCAGGAAGAATTTGTACTCCTTGAAAAGGTGCTGTAATATTTTTATCTAGCTGAGGAGGCAGACTTACTTTTGAACTTACTGGACTTGAAATGCATTGTGATACCAAAAAGTATACATGTGTAACCATACACAAAACTGGGGTAGAAAGATCCAAAAGGGTTATCTTCAATGAGATCAATTAGGGAAATCAAATGATTAGCAAATATGTATTTCACAACCATGACACCTGTAACTAAATGATCTCAGCACTCTTTCTCACTAAGCCTAGGCAGGGCCTTATAATCCATCTCAACCTACAATTTCAGGTGAACTGCAGTAAGCTGAAACACTGAAAATATTTTCTTACTAAGTTTCCACTAAGTCACTACAAAAAGTTTACACACACAGAGACTTAATGTGGACTCTATAGGATGTTCAAGTATTCAACATAGAACACAACATGTACTGACTGTATTACTACCCCTTTCACTACAGCTCTAAAATCCAATAAGCTCTGAAACAATCTAAATTTGAGGTAAACTAATCTGGTGGCAAAACTGAATTTATGTGAGGCGATTTATCCAACAGAGTGTGACTATTCAAACATTTTACTATAGATACATTAATGTGTTTGATTACAGAGTCCATGGTATTGCCCCAGAATTTCTGGATAAATACATGGAATATGCACTGCATTACTTTTTGAGAATCCCCCAAATTCTGAATTCCAAATATTATCTGGTGCCAAGGAATTCAGATAGCGGACTATTGACCTCCTTTATGCTGAACCTGCTGCTCAGCTATTATCTTTACTGAGGAGAGAACAGGAGGAGGTAATGGCTTTAAGCAAGAGCACAGAGATTCAAATTATTATAAAGAATACTAAATATAAGCAGAGAATTATTTGTAAAATAGGTTACAGAGATTACAGAATTTGTTCGTTTCACAAAAAGCATAGGTTTAAAGGCATCGAGTTCACTGTTAAAGATAGATCCAGTTTATTTAAGCTAGGGAGAACTAGTTCCTAACCAAGATTTGTCAACCCTAACTAATGAAAACAAAAATAGAGATTATACAGTCTTCACGTTTTAATTAGTTCTACTGGAGGAAATCCTTTTTTACATATTGATTAACTCTCTCAGTTGCAATCTGAGACTATATACCTTCATTAAAATGATATATGAACCCAGACTGGCAAAGTCTTTTAACTGCTGAAGTTGGATGATGGGTATAAGCTGTTTCATTATATTATTATATCTACTTGCCTATTTGCTTGAACATTTCCATAGTAAATTTAAAAAAATATATAGCTTTATTCCTGATTAGAAAAGTAACTAATGAAGTTTAGCATTTTCCTATAAGATTTCTTTAATCTTAGAAAAGAAAATGACTATTATTTTATATTCAAGTCTATAAATGAGCATAAAAAATTTGAAGTATGTGTTATAGAGTTGATAGTACAAACACACCCACATTTCTAGTAACTCAGATTTCAATAAAAATTGGTTTCCAATGGCTATTATAGTCTCTGGCTCAAGACTGCCTCTGCTTGAAGCAGCAGATAACAGACAACAGAGAACACTAGAATGCTTGGCCAAAATTTCGATTAACATATTAATGAATCGCATGTTCAAAGTCTTTTGTTAGCCTTAAACATGGACTTATTTGTGTTTTAAAAAGTTAATTTCAGTTTATGGCCCAAGGTGTTTATTAACAACTTCCAAGATTCCAGCTATAAATTGAGAAGTACTAACCTCTGCCCAGGCTTTCAGCACAGCTAAGATCTCCATGGTAGAGGCACTTTCATTATATAAGTGACTTAGAGCTTCTTTTCCAGCCTGTATTTTTGTTAATGATGAGACAAGCAACTGATGAACTCTTCGGAGATCATTAAGGTCACTTACAACTCCACTTGCTATCCAGGCACTGCAAACCTGGTTTTTCAGAGAAGAAGAAGTTACATGTAAAAATTATAAATGTCTCCCTTGTGAGTTCAGCAGAGCTCAGCAACATCTTAGGAAATCACCTTGCTATCAAGAAACCCAATGGGATGCTGCTGATAGTAACACCCAAAAGTCAGCATTTCAAAAGGAAATAAAGTCTACAGTTGAAGCAAGAAAACCAGTGCTAATAAGTATACAAAAATCAAAGAGAAATTAAGCCACAGAAGGTACCACATTCATAAATGTTTGGATTAACATTTGAATTAATGTTAATTAATTCTCCAATCTTGATTATTTCATCTTATTATTCTAAAATCTGTGGTTGTGTGGTAATTAATATAAGTTTGTTGAAAGATAAAGCACCTAACATTTAAAACCCCAAAGAAGATTGATTCTTTTGAAGACAAGGTATTAAAAATTTCTAACGGCCAGCCGAGTGACTCAGTTGGTTAAGAGCTTGCTCAAGAGTGCAAGCTCTGAGCAACAGGGTCGCCGGTTCGATTCCCAGCCCAAGCTGAGCTGCCGCTGACCTGCCAACAGGTGCCAGGATGGCTGAGCTAAAAAAAAAAAAAAATTTCTAAAACAAAACATCATTAATAATTCTCCAATGTAAATAGTTTACTCAATTATCAGGGGCTGTCTATGGTTTCCTGGGTATCACAGTATTTCTCTTTTTCCAGAGAAAATTAATTTTTTCCTTTTCCATCTATTTATTCCATTCCTGTCTCATTTCACAATATTTCAAGTGGCTTACAGCAAGAACTGTAAAGTCATTGATAAATGAGACTCAATATAACATATAACACAGTTCTGAGTACTGAAGGTACTCGAACACTTCTAAATACAACTGAAAAGCAAGTTGAAAAATCTGACTAAAATTACTTTTCCCATTATGTTTATAATTATTTCAATTCAAGCCAGTTCTGCTTTAAATTACATCAGGTCATTCAGGGCTGGATATTGAGTGTTTTACAACCACTCCAAGAAAAGCACTTTTTCAAAATTGTATAGTATATGGTTCACAGATACATGAAAACATGCTCAGTCGCACTTGAAATACAAATTGAAACTATCCTGAGATACCCTCTGTGCTCCATCACATAGACAAAAATCTAAAAGTGGCAATTCACAATACTGCTGAGACTGTGGGACACGCATACTGGCAGGAGTTTAAATTGGTAAACCCCTATACTATTCTTTAACTCAGCAATTGAACTTTGGAGAATTTATCTTACAGATATGCTTGCACCTCATGAGATGACTTTGCAGAAGGTCATTAACTCCAGCACTATCTGCAAAAGCAAAAGATTTAAAAACCCATTTATCTGTTTCTGGTTAAAAAAATTATGATTTATGTATATCCTGGATTACTATGCAGTTATTGGGTTATCGGGAAAGTCATGATGCATTTTTGCATTGTAAAACATAGAAAAATACATCATGACTTTCCCGATGACCCAGTAGATGAAAGGAAGAGGATGTCCTCTAAACTTAAAAAGCAAAGGGAAAGGAGCAGCTTGAGATTAATGGTTAGACAACTATAATGTAGAATCTGGGTTACAAATTGGAGAATTGCTTTAGAAAGGACAGTTTCACTTCTTCAGCTTTATCTTTTTAGGCATTTACCTGACATGCTTTGGCAGTGACATCAGGTGGTGTCTCTGAAGTGAAGGCAGGTCTAAGTGCTGCTCCTACCTGGCAAGAAATGATGTGATCATTATATATCAAGATCAGTAAGTAAGACAGCACAAGCTCTTTCTCTTTTTAATGTTATTCTAAAATTCTTATTTATAACTGGTGTTACAGACACTTGTTTTTTGCCAGCATAGCATATTGTCCCATTTTTGATAACAGCATTCCAATTTTCCTTTGGGAAACCTTCTCTTTCCCCAAGTTTTACTTAGCCCACATTGTTGCTATAGAGGTGACAGCACTACCTGGCTCCAGAGACCCATGCTGGGATAATGAAAGCTCTCCTTAAGACTGTCTCTGGGAGTACTGGGAAAGAAGTACTGTCTCATTATAAGATTCTGGGTGCTAAGGGAGCCATCTTGATACCACTTGGAGAGATCAAACATGAGAATAAAGCCAGTACAAAACCAAGCAGAGCCAACTAAGATTCCTGAAAACAATTTTCCTTTTCTGCTGAGTTGTAGTTTATTTCTATCATCTGCAATTTTAAGAGGACTAAAAATATAACAGAGCTCCCCTTAATTAAGTTGAATTTTAATATTTTGTTCTAATATAATAGTTCTATGTAACTTTACTCTCTTCCTTTTGCTTTCTCCCTAAGCATACACTGGCATGACCTGCTGGTAAGCCATGATGGAGACTGCTAACTGCTTAACTGCTCTGGTGTCTCTAACTGCTAGCCATCAGAGGCTGCCTCTAAATAATGGGAGGTATCCTGCGATGAATGCTGCTGGAGGATTACATGTGATTTGTGTGATGTAACATGTGATGGTTTTATCTTCTTAGATTGCTCAGTGCACTGGGCAAACATCAGTTAAAAAGATCATAGAACCAGAAACAGAAACCTGAATTCTTTTCTAAGTTCAAATAAACCCAAATGAAGGTAGTTACATTTATTCTAGGAATAATGATTTGAAAATAAAACATGCATGTAGCCTAAATGAAATGTTTAGTAATGATTTAATTTTTTTTCTTGATTTAGTGTTATCTTAAGCTTATTCAGATATTTTTGTAAAGAATTTCATTACCAAAGTCCTTTATTTCCCCAAATTACCATGAAGGTTTTATTTAGGAAAATTAACCTTTAATGTTATAAAAGACATGTTTTATGTACCACTTTGCTTTTACTTTAAGATTTCTTCAAACATATGCATTTTCTGTATATTGACCATAATGGTGATATATGAGAGCTATATACTTATTTATATATGTGTTAAGAGGTGCTATGCTAATTAGTTTCATAGACTTTTATCCTGTGTTTAACAATAGAGTTCTCTAATAGAAAGTGCTTACATTGGCTTGATACTGTTCCAGAATCACATGACCTGGAAACTCTGGTTCTGGAATAGTTGCAAATTGCCGAATAACAACTAACAAAGTCTCAAGGCCAGAAAGACGGAGCTGGTCACTATGATCTGTGGCAGCCATGAAAGCCATGCGAACTAAGTCGGCAAGATGCAGCACCAAAAAGTCATCTACAAGATAAAAAAAAAAGTTATTAATAAAAAGAATATGCTGGAACTAAGATTTATATTAAGTTTTTAATTTAAATTCATAACCTAGACTTTTATTTAAGTACCTCTGATTTGATTTACTGTTTGTTAAATACAGACTTTAAAGCTGGATTTACTGCTCCACTATACATACTCACACACAAAAAACTATCCCAAAGTTAGTAATTATATAGCTATTCAAAAACCAAAGGCAGAATTAGTAGCCTTTAAAAGAGTGCTAATAGTACCTTCAGTAAAAATTTTGTTCAGACTTTCTGCTATAAGTACATTGAAAAGTACTTATGCGACTTTGGGCTCTGATGAATTAGGCAGTAATTTAATTATACCCTTTATGTCAAGTTGAAGCTAAAGACTTAATCTTCCTTTAAAAAATAAGTTTATGTAGTGTTTTATACAGACTAGACTACCTTATTTTTGCATGTCTGACACACATACAAATAATGGGAGTATAAAAAACATTCCGGGCCGGCCGAGTGGCTCAGTTGGTTAAGAGCTCGCTCAAGAGTTTGAGCTCTGAGCAACAGCGGTTCGAGTCCAGCCCGAGCTGAGGAGCTGCTGAGCTGCCAACAGGTAGCAGGATGGCTCAGCTAAAAAAAAAAAAAAAAAAAAAAACATTCCTTGCTATAAAATTATAAATGAGAATTCCTTTCATTCCTACAACAAATTTTTTTGGTATAGTTAAGTCTACTATGGAAAGGCATAAGACAATCATTCAACAATGTTCCAACAATAAAATGTTTAGGGGTACAGCTAACTTTTTACGGAAAATAAATTTGACATTAATTCAATAGCTATAGGTCACACTGAAGAAACCAACTCATCTTAGTAAGTGCCAATTACAATTTTAACTGGGAACACAGGAAATAAGTAAGCATGTGTGATATATTAACATTATACTTATCACTATCTATCCAGCACAGTGCTCATCACAAATAAGAGACTAAAATGTTGCTTGAAAAATCATTAAAACAGAGATACCTAACTAATACTTTTAGACTGGCAATAGCAACGTTTTGCCTTATAATTCTTTCTTCTGGTAAAGAATTATTTTTAAGGCATTCAGATATGTGCATTGTGTCTTTGAACATACATTGCTGATGTGAATTTAAAAAAATTAAACATCAAACCATAACACACACACACATTTTTAGGTAACAATAATAAAACTGAAGACTATAAGGTTAAAATGGTCTTATAACCATGTTTACTTTACATTGAGATAGGCTCAAATGTTTTCTGAGTAATATCCATGAAAAAAATAACCCATCGGCAAAACTGCTGTAAGTTATAACTCAGAAAATAAATTTTGGGAAGTAGTTAAAGCACATACTACTTTCCGATAACATAATTATTCCCTACAAACTTAACTCACTGCATATGTCCATTAAACAAAAGTGGATGCCAATTTAAGAGGCTTAATCATTAAAAATGCATTTAAACATTAAAAATATATTAGTTACAATTTATATAAATATTCAAGTTTCATAACTGATTTGGAATAAAAACTATCTTTCAGTTTTACTTTTTAAGTTAATATTAACATAAGCAGACAGCAATTCTAAGTATATCATTTGGTCTTTTCATTATTACGCCACTTACTTCTTGAATCCCTTTTTTTCATTTCTTGTGCTAAAGCAATGTCAAAATGTGCGCTGTGTGCATTCTCACACTGGTTAATTATCCTACAGACACATTCAGCAGCAAAGACTCTAGTAGCCCATCGGGGGTTGGTAAAAGGATGGGATCTGTCATCATTTCTGGTGGTCAGAACGAAGGCATCATCCCCTTTATATCCTTCCTCTTCTTGCATTGTATCCACACAAGTTACAGCTGTAAAATCTTTTATCAAGGGAGAATACATGTAATTATAATCAATTGGAAGATATATATTTATAAAGAAACACCAATGACTTCAAATTCAGACCGGAATTACTGTTGATCAAGCACACATTTTCTAACAATGTAAAACAATCATGCCTATTAAATACAGATAATAGTGGTATTTAAAGAAATGCTGTAAGAACTGTTCTAGGTCAAAAGAACATAGTTGTTAAATTACATTCAAAATGAAAAACTGAACATGATACTAGATACTGCAGTAATTATCAATCCCCTATATGAAGATGGATATATTAGGGAAGATCAAAAATTTCTTTTTTTTAAAGATTTTATTTGGGATGGGGGAGTGGAACAGCATTGGGGAATCGGGGAAGGGGAACAGACAAATTGCTGTCCTTTTGTTTTTCAGTCTAGTTGTGGAGGACGTCGCTTCACTGGCCCATGTTGGTATTATCATTGCGCTCTTCTTGGGTGAAGGCAGTCACTCGCCGGCCAATAGACGGCCGCTCACAGCAGCTCACACCCGCTGCCGGCCAGCCCCACTGAAGCCTAGGCTGTCGCCAGCCACTCACGGCAGCCCAGCTCCAGGTCAAGCTGCTGCTCACCATCTTAGCTGTAGAGGGCGCAGCATCACTGGCCCTCATGTGGGATTCAAACCGAGGCCCTGCTGCTCAGAGCTGACATCCCAAGCCAGCTTCTAACCAACGCACCACTCGGCCAGCCCAAGATCAAAATTCTTGAGTAGGGAATGTAGTGCATTGTACTGGGGATGCTGTTTTCTTTTTTTAAGATTTTACTGGAGAATTGGGGAAGGGGAACAGTGCTGGGGAATTGGGGAAGGGGAATAGCCAAGTTGTTTTCTTTCAGTCTTAGTTGTGGAGGGCACAGGTAGCTCAGCTCCAAGTCTAGTTGCCATCGGGCCGCCCATCAGCAGCTCGCAGGTGCTTAGCTCAAGGTGCCGTGTTCAATCTTAGTTGTGGGTGGGCATAGCCCACCATCACATGCGTGAATTGAACCAGCAACCTTGTTGTGAGGAGCACGTGCTCTCACCAGCTGAGCCATCCTGCTACCTGTTGGCAGCTCAGCAGCAGCTCAGCTCAGGCGCAGGTCACTGGCTCATGTGGGAATTGAACCAGCAACCCTGTTGTTCAGAGCTCGCGCTCTAACCAACTGAGCCACTAGGCCGGCCCTGGCATGCTGTTTTAACACTGGAGCCTTGAATGGCTTTAAGAAAGTTCCTGAACCTATTGAAAATGTCTTAAAATATTTTTCTTAGGACAGAACCATTGCTATCATTATGGTCTCATACAGTCCTGATGACCAGAGTCACTGAGTGGTGAATTATTTGCTCTTTATATTAACTGTTAACGTAGTAACTATTTAAAATGGAGCTAATGCTATAAAACAAAGCTAACTTGGTTTTCTTAAATTATCTTTTATGTCAACATTTTTTTAATGTGTTATGATAGCAAAGACGTCACAAATGAAGTTATGGCAAAGTCATGTCTTATGACTAAGAAGTCAACAGAAACTGAAATGTATGTTTTCCTAACAGGAAGGATAGGGCCTAACTACACAGGATAACGTATAATTGGTGAAATAAAATTGAGCTAGTATGCTCAGGGAGTATGAATTTAAATTAAAAAAAGACAGGTGAGATATCAGAAATGCACATACACATTTTCTCTTAATGGAGAAGTCCTTGCAAGTTCTTAAGTAATGAAGACAGAACAGAGCATTAAAGAAGAAAAATGTGGAGCATAATGGTTGAAGAACAGGTATAAATAACTGGAAGAGAAGAAGACTATCAAAAATCACCAAAACCCCCCAAAAAACAAACAAAAAAACCTCTGAATTTTATGGTACCTTTCTCCCTTTCACATAATTCAGAGATTAGAACTACATTAAATTGTAAGACTTAAGTAACTGAAATGAGCTACTAAAATATAGTAGGAAGTTGTGTTTTAAAGTCATGCAAGCTAAGGCCTGAATCTGTCTGTGTCTCTTTGGGCAATTAGTTAACCTTTCCAAGTCTTGTTTTCTCTTGTGTAAAATGGAATAATACTGCTTACTCAAAGAATGGTTAAAGGATTAACCAAATAAAATATGTACCAGACCTAGAACAGAATTGGTTTCTATCTTCTTTCTTCCTATCATTTATTTTCTTTTTTACTCCAAGGATATAAATTTTAAAGACTTTAATACACTTTCTCATTAACAATGATCTTTACTAGCAAAGACATTAGGGAAATAACACTAATTTCAAACACTATTTGAAGTTAACATTATTCAACTGTTGGAGAAACTGGCTTGCTCAAAATGTCATAAGCTTTGGTGAGTTTTCTATTATGTCAACTTGAGGCAATCCCTCAAATATTTATCACACGTATGAAAACAAATGATAGGGCTACTATAAGTTAGCTCATCCTTTTTATTGCATAAATAATGACTCTACTTTTTAGTTAGTTGTACATAGGAAAGTCACATAAGACAACCAAAAGAAAAAAAAAACAGGCTTAAGTGTTAGACTTTAGCACTAGACTCTATTTGAAGTAACAAGCAATTTATAATACAAATATTCACACAAGATTGATGAACTGTCACTGAGAAACAATTTTATATAACATTTTTATTTTCAATTTTATTATTTCAACTGGCATTCACCAGTACTTACCAGCTGATGCAGCAAGTACATCTTTACAAAGCTTTAACCAAAAGGAAAGCTTATCTACTGCCATAGATGTCAGCATATGATTTAAAGTCTCTTTGATATCATGGCACAATCTCTGATCTGTCTCTTTGTCCAGTAAGGTCAGTAATGCCCCTTCAAGGCCCACTTCTCTGATGTTAGCATCTGACAAGAAGAAAATCGATGATCTAAGTAATACAGAAAACAAAACTGCCATATGAGAAGCACACACGTTCAGTAGTTATGAAAATATTATGTGCCAGTATATTTTAAAGAACTAATCCAAATACTGTGCCTTAACCTACTGAGGTCTATTTTAGTTCACAGTTTGGTATTATTCACGATACCGTACAGATTGTACAGTCATGTTTTATGCAATGTCACTGAAAGATAAGTCTTTATTGAGAATTATTAATATATTGTCCTTAAATTAGGTAAACATTTAAATCCAATTAACACTCAATACTTAAAGACTTTAAATTAATGTAAGAGTAAAACTCAGAAAATAACTGTAGCATGGAGTGTTTAAAATGACTACAACTAAGTTATTGTGGAACTACAGAACTCTACTGAATTAATAAAAATTACTACACCATATTCTCATTGCAAAGTAATAAAGCATCTCAAGGAAAATTGTAGCCTTGATCTAGAATCTATTTCCTCTAATTTTGGAAATGCTAAAAGAACAAATTTTTTTTCATCTAGTATTCATGAAAAGATTTATTTTCTAAAGATTATGCTATGATGAGACTATTTTAAAAGAGAAATTATCTTTTAAAGATCAGAAAGGATGTGGTAGGAATGTTCCTGATGAGGGGTCTGAAGAGACAGAACAACTGATGCAATGTGTGAGTCCTGACTGGATCCCACATTTGGGTGAGATTGAGGGGGTAGGAAAGAGTCATAAGGGACATTTTTGTGATAACTGGAAAAATTTGTGTGAGGACTGCACATTCTATGTTGTTACTAAATCACTTTTAATTTTATTATTTGTGGAAATGAGGTGTGATCCCGCATGTCCTTGGAAAATGAAAACTGAAGTACTTAGGGGTGAACTGTCATGATGCTTGCAGCCTACTTTGAGATGGTTTGGCAAAAAGTTTGTGTGTGTGGATATATATGGAAAGAGAGAGATATATAAAACGTGTGTCAAAGATATTAAGTAGGCAAATCTATGTGTTCAATGCACATTTCTTTCAACTATTCCATGGGTTTGAAAAATTACAAAATTTAAAGAAGGAATTATATGAGTTCTTTACTATAATTTTACTTACATAGCTAATTCAATAAATCTAGGAACATGTACCAGCATATTTACACAATCAAACCCTAAAGCAATAGATACAGATAATATCAGTGGTGAATATAAACCTAAGGTCGCTTTGGGGAGAATATTTCACATGGTTAGAAGGTTAAAATTTCTCTGGTTAAGTGATCATTGAATAGTTTTCACATGAGTTCTGTAACCTGTCTGATGACTACTAGTGTATCAGTTCAGCAATGCTGTTTAACTCAAACCAGAGCAAAAGTTTTAATATAATAACAAAACTGTAATTTAAAAGGCACAGCTTGACAGTCAAACACATTATGGATTTGAAAGCGTTAGATATCGGAAAGCTTTGTGAAATCAGAGGCCTAAAAGTGATGGCACTTTGGAAACCATATATATAAAAGTGTAAGATATTGCCAGCACTATTTTTGTAGACTGTTTGAATTTACATGCATGCTTGGGTTACTCACATAACCTTAAAATGAAAGGATATATACTTAAAACAAATTTTACTGGCTAAGAAATCCTTTAATTCAGCTCTAAAATATAGAAGAAGGTATGTAAAAACTCTTTAATATGAAGCAGACTCATCTATGGTGAATTTTATAAAATGAGGTTTTGGGGGAAGAAAGGTACATATGATAAATTATTTAAGGGCTAAATCCAATGTCAATCGACTGCTGTGAAAAAACTTGCTCTAAACACAATGGCTCTTAAACTTCAGTATACATTAACAAGGATTGTGAGAACACAGGTAACAAGATTGCTCAGCTCTATACCTAGAACTTTGGTTTAGCAGATTTGGGATGGGACCCAATAGTCTGTATTTCTGACAAAGTCTCCAGGTGAGGTGGATGTTGCTGGTTTGGGGGCCTAAGTTTGGGAACCACTGGTCTAAACTGGTACCATCACTGGTTGGAATGATACATAATTGTTAGCAATCATCTCTTGTAGCAGGTTTAAGACATGTTATATATTACCTTTTAAGTTTTGTTTTAAAAACTCATCTTTATACGGAAGATTGAGGATTAATAATCATTTGAGTTTGAGATAATGTTGATAAAAAGAACTACCTGGAGTCAACTCTTCTCTGCTGTCCTTAGCAAGCATAACAGCATGTTCTGAAACTTCAGCTGCCTCTCTCTGCACAAGCTGACGTAAACAAGCCAGCACTGCTCTTCTCAGTAACAAATAGGGACTACAGAGATTCACCTGAAAGATATCATTTGGGGACTTGAAAGAGCTGAAATTCTTCCTGGTACTCATTAAGTCTAACAACCACTGGACCCAATTATTGGGCTGGATGCAACTTATTAAATATACAGAAATTCAAATTATTCTAGTACACAGTTTTTATTTTATAACTTAGAAATAGCTTAAGGAGTAATACATATACTTAATTATGCAATATTAATAAGCAAATCCAAGCAAAAGCCTCGACAGTGTTAAAAGACACAGAATTTATGTGAGCAAAACTATTTTGAGAGATAAAACAAATACAATTAAGAATTTATTTGCAGTTTATACATTTGTGCTCATGCAACTATATTATGTTTTATGATTCTCTATGCAGAAATTTTTACAAATTAATATAAGCAATACAGCATACTGGTTAAAATGGAGGCTCTGGCGTCAAATGGTCTCAGTTTGAGTTCTAGACTCACCACTTACCAGCTGTGTGACCTTGGGCAAGTTATTTAACCTCTCTGTGCCTTAGTCTCTTCATTTGTAAAATGGAGGTAACACTACCCCCATCTCAGAAGGCTGTTGTGAAGTTAATACCAAGAAACATGCAAAAGTACTCATACTTATTAGCACAATACTGGGTAAATAGTAAATGCTCAATAAATGTTAGTTATTATTAATGCAAGTCTCTATCAATATTCAATATCAAGTATTTTATTCAGATGCCATACAGGGTAAGTAAATGCATTTTTAAATAAAAGCAGAAAGAGTTTTACTTAGAAAACATATGCAACAAAAAAATGTTCTTTAGAGACAAACATTATAGATAGCAAAATTTACATATATGTATATCTAATTATATATGTTATGTACCTATCTTAGAGATACAGAATATTTCTGCTCAGAATGACAGACTCTACATATTCTTTTTACTTAGATGTATTTAAACAATGTAAATTTCAATAAGTTGTGTAAATGATATGACTGGTGATGTACCTTAAATGAGCAATTAAAACACGTCAAAAGTTTCTGGATACAAATTCTTACTCAGTGGATTCATTAAGTAGAATAAAATCTAGCATTTTTGAAATTCATTTTGTTCTAATTATGTAAGTAAAGACCAGTTTGGTGTGGTTTACAACAATGATTATGTGTCTTATGATAGTAATTTTCCAAGCAAAATTTGAGAAATAATGGCATAATTCTTATAGTGATCTTTAGATTGTGTATGCAGGAAAAGCAGGACTGAAGTAGGTGAATTTGTTGAAAAAAGCAGAGGCTAAATTTTGAGAAAAAGAATAGGTGGTGGCAGCTGGCTTTTCATATATAAGACGAAATACATGCAATGAGAGAGCTAACTCCTAAATTTTGTCAAAAGCCCAAAGACAGAAAAAGGTTGTAAATATATCATCAGTGAAACATATGGATGAGAACTGCTTCATAAATAGGTTCTATGATATCCTCAAGCCATATCATGAACTCAAAAGTCGAAAGAGAGGAATGCCATTATCAAAGTCTCAAGGTAATGTCATTCCCGTCATGTTAAGAACTCCATCGGTAGACACAAGTACAGAGGGTAACAGAGAAGTTAAAATGTAAAACATTAAATTTTCTCATGCCCAAGATTACAGCTGTATTCAATGACAAAAAAGCACTCTACAAGACGATTTAAAGAAAAGTTAATGACTCTACTAGTTATTTTAACTGGAGTTTTACAAGCACATAATACAAGGCAGGTGAAGCATTATTCAGGCTGGTCAAACAATCTTTTAGAAAAGGCATGCTTAGAAAGTACTCTTTGTTTGATGGAAAAAGACTGAAGGCTGTCACACAAAGCAAAATGGGATGCTTAATATCACCATGTCATTCTCCAGCACTTATAATGGAAAGAGGAATAGAGTGGGTTAAGGCCAAAAAACCAAGCAGGCAAAATACAGAAATGAAATCAAACTATAATTACAGTTCCTTTCTAAAACGAATATAGTAAATCAAAATGATACGAAATTAAGTGCAAGGAGTGAGTACACCAGCTGGAGAAGGTTAGGGAGGATTTGCTTGCACTGGTAGTAACTAAACACCATGTAACATGCTACACATACTGGGCTTTGCATTGATGGTTAGCTTAAACAGAGATGCAGAGGAAAACAAGAACATCTACAACCAAAAAAAAAAAGACACAAAGAAACAGCACTGCAAACCTCAAAAAAGTTAGGAATTGAGGGTCAGGGACCTACCAACACAGAATTATCCAACAAGATCTCCTGCACAAAAACAAATGACAGACTGGTCACGACAAAACCAAAAATATAAACACTATGATGACTTTGATAACAGTCAGCTAAGCAGTAAAATATAAATGTTGATAGAGGTATCGTTAAAATTGGCTTAGCTTCAGCTTTAAAAATACGCAATGAATACCTCATTTTCCAACTTAAAATATGAGGTGAGCTAAGTTCTTGAAAAGACCAAACTCAAGATGTAAAGATATAAAATATACAATAATTTTAAAATGTGCATTTGTGTAATTAAGTTTTCCTTTGGAATCTCTCATTCAGCTTCAGTAACAAAACCAGATCAAGTAGACACGAGTGTGAGAGGACTTAATTTGGATTGCATTCACATGAACAGGTGTCCAGCAAGGGACAAAGTTAAAGGTTTATCTCATCACAAGTTAATTATAGATTTTTTCACTCTTGGAAGCCAAGTTTTAAAACTGAGAGTACTCAGAAATGCTAGTGTAGCTAAGGCCAAGTTCAGAAAAGAAGTTAAATAGCATGCAGTTAGAAGAAAGCCCTTTCCAGTAAGATTGTTTCCTAATGAAGAAATGTATTCTGAATATTCAGAGAGTTTCAATTAATATGAAGACACTTCGTGGTAAATAATTAAGTTCTTTGTAGAAGAGAAAACTGATCATAAAGTTGTTAAATAGGAAAGCAAAAGCTTTCTTTACTACAGGGGATACTCTAATATAATAAATCCAACCTAATAACTTTAGAAAAGCTTTAATAACCAAAACATTAAGACACAAAATTAACACTCTACAGCAATAGCAATTTTTGAATATGATTTTTGTATAAGAAAAAAATCATTTTACAGCTTAAATATTATGAATAACATGAATAAGATGTGTTAATTGTTGCTTCCAATTTTCCCAGTTGCTCTGAATGTACCCAAAAGAAAAATCTGATAATAGTCTCCCTTCTTTATACATATGTAACCTTTGTCTAGGAAAAGAAAAGAGTAATGAGTTTGATCAGGTCTAAATCACTATGAGTTAGGAGTTAATCTTGTTCTTTATTTCTCAATAAACTTTACCTAATAAATAAATTCATGTAAAGTTAAAAAATAAAGTTTAGAAGGTTATTAATGGAAATTTCCTATTACAATTCAAGAAGAGAAAAATGGCAGTATCATTATATTTAAATGGAGAGTGAAAGTTAGCCAACTTGCATAGGAGTAAATGTTTTTCAATAATGGGCTTTGGTTGATGGTTCCTCTAATATAAAGGATATTATTCCCGGGGAAAATTCATTGAGTAGTAAAGGTAAAATCCTTATCCAGTAAGTGCTATTTTCTCTCATACATATTTAACCCAGACAGGAATCAGTTTTTATCAGAAAAATCAGTCACATCCTCTTTTTAAGAGTCTTATATAATTATGACTATTAAAATCAATATGAAGGTAACATAATCTATGTTTAAGTTATATGTTAGGAAAATAAAAACAACTACTATTAAGTGGTTTTTAAGTGCCTGGAACATGTACCTTTATAGGAGGTATTTTGAGTAATCCTTGTGTTTTACAGACAGGTAGCTGAAGCTGGAGGAGGTGATGGGACTTCCCTAAGGCCACCTAACTAGGATGTGGCAGAACTGAGATAAGAGCTATCCGTAACAGTACGACAGAATGAAATGAGGACTAACAAGGAGTTCAGAAGCCCGGATTCTAGACTTAGAGTTACCACTACCTAGTCAAATTATTTGACTTTTTGGTCCTCAGTTTATCTTTTTATTGAGAAGCCTGGTTTTAATGATGTTTGAGGTTTTTGCAAGGCCTGAAACA